GAGCCGGTGAGATTTGAACAGCCGAACTGCAGAACTGCAGTCAGCTGAAGTAGCCTGCAGTGCTGCATTTAACCACTGCGCCACCTCGGCTCCCCCACTGCGCCACCTCGGCTCCCAATCTTATGGCAATTTTAAAAGACATATATTTATGAATATGTAGTTTATTCATAATTGGCATCTGATAATATTTATATTCCCTGGTACAGATATGTTAAAAATTCTGTGGCTTTGAAGAGGGGGACATTTATTCTCAGACGCAAATTTATGCATTTTTTTTAATCTAGAAAAGCACGCAAATTTGCAGGAGGTGATAGCTATACTTCCTCTGACAAAATCAGCAGAAGCGAGGAGTCCATGGAGCCCTCATCCAGGATCAGCGGCTTGTTTGATTCAGTATTACGCCGAAGGAGCAGGGAAGGGTACGGTTGGTAATATTAGTTTATTTAGAAGATACGACAATTTTAACTGGATTTTAACTGTAATTTCAATCTTGCTCCAAGATTACATCATAATTTATTATAGCCAGTTATGTGCATTTCTGGAAATGGCCTGCCAAATTGTCTTTCTAGAACTGTTGGATTGAAGAAATCATGGAAAATTCTCTGTCTTTTCAATTATGTCTTGATTTTTAAAGTGTGAATAAAGAAGAAATGCATTTCCCTCCATAGGATGAAAAGGGGAAAACGGGTAGCCGATAAAGGGACTGAAGCAGAGCATAGCAGCAATATAAAACGCAGGATTTCCAGATCTGAACACAATTTTCAGCGATCGAAAGATTCTGAAATGCCGTTAAATGTAGATAGAAAACAGGTAAAGTTTGAACTTGATGTGTTTGCTTGATGCAAATGTCAAATTTTCTCAATATGAACAATAGTGCATAGATTAAATCTTACCCACTCATCTAAATTTTGAAAAATATTGAAAACCTCTCCAAAACAGTTTTATAATTCTACTGTAGATACAGATATTACTATCATTTAATTATAGAAAATAAAATATAATACAATTACATGATATAATTTCTGTATAAAGTTATATTATTTCCTGATAAAGTAAACAGTATTTTTTCCTGTACTAAACTTAAAATTAACTTCCTTCAACAATGCATCTTGGATTAAAATTATTGTTATAAGTATAAGAACTTAGTTGGGACCCAGGGGAAAAAAACATTTATATATTTTTTTTTCAACTTTCCTTCAAGGAAATAAGCTTGGCATACTGCAATTCGATCCTCTTCCTCATTTTAGTGGTTATATGAATTAAACTAGGCTGAGAGAAATGTTATGTGTTTCAGAGATAAAAAGATTCAAAACTCAATGTACTAGATCATAGTTTAAAATTACTTCTCAGTCATAATAGTGAAAGTGCCGTGTTTTCCCCAAAATAAGACAGGGTCTTATTTTCTTCTGACTCCCAAAATAAGTGCTTGGCCTTATTTTCTGGGAGGTCTTATTATTTTTGAGGTGCAGGAGGTAGTAGTGGTTATCTCATAGCTGCTGCTGTATTACAATATTTTTGGGGGAGGGCTTATTTTCGGGGGAGGTCGTATTATAATATTTCCGGGGTGGACATGTGCTCAAAAGCCCGATTAGGCTTATTATGCGGGGAGGTCTTATTTTCAAGGAAACAGAGTATATATGGACTTGCCTGCAGGAAAACTGATAGATGGGCCCATAGCCATACAGTTGTTCTACATCGTGCAGACAGAAGTGTTTGTGGAGGAGTTTTTCAATCATGTCATTAGATTAATCATTTCTAAATTGGGTAGCCATGTAGTGTGTAACATTGTATTACAGTATAGATTTGTTTGTGTTGATATATATATTGCTTGTACTGCTATAGAATAAATTGTTACTGGTTAGTTACTATGGTCCAAATAGATTGCATAAATGTGAAACTGTCTCATCCATTTTATGTTAATCCTGATTAATGTTCTTTTAGACTATTTCTAGACATTCAGGCATTTCTGATGAGTTGTCAAGTGAGGAAGAACCCGATAATGTGAGTCAGGTAGTTTTGCTGCGCAGAAGCGTAGAAGGTGGCCCTAGTGTAATTGTAAATGAAGATCAGGGCAAAAGGTCTTCTCTTATTTCTCCATCTGCTTCAACAAATCAGTCAGTGTCACAGGTAAGTGTTATCAAAAACTGTTATCCTACTTGCTAAGGCAACAAATGCATTTCCCTTTAATCAAATTAAGAAAGAGTAGGTCAACCTTCAATTGTGTGATCCACTTGGGTTGGGACAGCAACTTCTAGAATTACTAATTAATACACCCATATCTGCAGGACACCAGAAAAGAAGTATAATAATTATTAACCCTAACCCTGAATTTGTAGATTATAGTCTGTCATGATTATAATTTATACTCCTTGGTGTTTATTTTGGGATCTCTGGAAGCAAACTGAAAAATTATTATTCAATGTTCTCTATGTTCTGTTTTCTAGACAGATCAAGATAAATATAGTAGTGCTGACATTAAACAAATAATCTAAGATTAGATATTTAGCATTTCTATCCATTTAGAGTCCATTTTAAAAGCAAAATCAATTGCTGCTGGGCAGAGAAGATTTAGCAGAAAGGGCCATTTAGTACCACTCCAAAATATCATTGGAATTATAATTTAACTTATTTGTATTACTGCCTTGGGCATACTTGCGTATGTATTTCAGTTGAATTCTGCTGGATGAGGTCATGGGCCCATGTAATCCAATTTTTTGTATCAGATAATGTGTGTGTAGAGCTCAGAAAAATGATCTGGAAAGCAACAACCCTCCTGCTGTAATTTGTCAGTCACACTGTCTATCATTCAGGCTATGGTAAACATCCATTAAAAATGATAGTCTCCCATGAACCTCTCCCTGTTTAAAACTATCCAAATAGTTTTTGGATAGTCAATATTACCATAGCTGCCAGCATTGAATTCCAATTTAACTATGTACTATGTGAAGAATAGTGTTTATTGGTCTTGATATCATAAATCATATTCACAGAATGCAGTATATAATATTCAGTTCTTGGTTGGGATATTGTATGTCTCCCTTCATAACTAACATTTCCAAAATAAAATAATATATCTAGAAATGTAGTCTCTTTTATTTGGTGAGTATTTCTGAAGATCCATTTACATTCCTAACTGTCACTCTCCCAACCTGACTAGGAGGTTCTATGAATTTTTTAATATATATAAGCACCTAAATTGTTTAGTTCTTGAATTTTATACGTATAGAATCTCTGGATATCACCCTTTCACTCACTGAAAGATTCTGATGCTAAGTCACTTTCAAGGAAAGATCTCTCCCATCATATTTCTCCAGGCCTCACTACAGAAAGTTGAAAAACAGGGAAGATTGAAGGTCTTCTCCTAAGAGTGGAGATTATATATATATATGACAATTGGGATTGTCAACCTAATCACTAAGTGTTGTGGTGACTGACTGAAAAATCACGTTGGACTTGTATCATTTCTACTTTTGTCATTAAGCAAATGGCCAGAGTTGTTAAGCCAGACGTTACATTGGAATTTCACTTTTATGTGAAAGAAAAAATTCTGCTTGATGAAAGCTGATTGTGAAGTTTGCAGAAGCTGATCATATAACCAGGGGATGCTGAGATAACCATAAATGCAAGGATTGGTCACAAAGCTGGTTTTTTTTAACCATTATGACTTTGAATAGTCACTAAACAAGGCAGTTAGTAAGCGAGGACTACTTATAGGCACATATAGATTTGTCTTGAATAAGTACAATACAATATAATTTTGTACTTGAATAAGTACAATACAATATAAGTACAATACAATACAGTGTATTTTTGATATAGTTTATGACATATTTTTTGCTTTGAAGATTGTCTACATTTTAGTTCTTCATTCATTTTTTTGTGATCTGAGGCAGGTCAACGAGGTTGTGAAATCTATGCAAGATTCGGACAGCGTAGTGGAATCAGAACTTGAACTAACAATTCCTCAAGAGGTATTCAGAATTAAAAATTACAGTATCTCCTGTGTGAAGTGAAGCTACTCGATGCATCTGATCCTTTTTTTAAATTATTATTTTGATTTACGATTCTTCTCAGCATCATCTGAGAGTAGATCTGGAATGACATAGTCAATGAACCATGTTTTAATCATGTTTGGGGGAATAGACAATAGTGACCTGACTCACATTTAATGGTAATCCTAAAAGCTGAGTTTATGCAGTGTGTTAAATCAAAACCAATTAGCATGTTATAGTTTCACGCAAGGACAGGGTATGTGGGTGCTTGAAATTTCCAGGCTCTTATTTGAGATCTCTGGAGTCCTTGAGAATTGTGCCTTTGAAATTGAACAACAGGCAGTTAAATTTAATCAGCAAAAAAAGTTCTCATATAGTCTGAAGAAGCTTTCCTTCATTTCTCAGCTGTTGTGGAGTGAGCTAAATGCTGATATTTCTGTGTAGATCATGGTTTAATACAAGTGGTAGAGCAGGACATAAATTCATTTGCAAACAGCATTTTTATGTTTCAGAATTAATCCCTGTGATATGTTCTATTTTTTTTTTGTTTCTACATTTTGTTAATACTTCAATATTTTTGGAATAGTTAAATAATCCACTATAGCACTTATAGCAGGGGTGTCAAAGTCAATTTCATTTAGGGCCACATCAGGGTTGTGTTTGATCTTGGGGGGCTTGGGTGGGCGTGGCCAGCTCAACGTCACTCATGTCAGAGGCGCCTGTGGTGGCCCGAGCGCTCTTCCAGTGAAAACAGGCTCCCAAGCTCCATTTTCACTGGCAGAGAGTTGCAGGAGGCCGTGGTAGCTGAAAATGGAGCTCGGGAGCCTGTTTTTGCTGGCAAAAGTACCAGGCCAGTCCTTTGCTATTTCCAAGGTGGATCCGGGCCCCGGGCCTTGAGTTTGACACCCTGACTTATAGGATTTGACATCAGGAAGTAGGTATATCTCTTCTGTCATACCAATAACAGTGTTATCAGGGCAATGTTTTTGATTAGTGCTTACTCTAACTTTTCTGCAGCATTGATAAATTGGAATATTTGACACTAGTATTTTGTGGTATTTAGAAAGATAAAGGGACAAGTGCAAACTTGTGTCAGACAGTTTTCATGATAAAGTAAGTTATTGGGATTTCGCTGATAGCTTTCCATGGGACTCGGGCTTTTTAAAAATTATTTATTATTCAGATTTAATATAGCCACCCACTTCAGGTGCCTGCACCATTGTAACTTAAACGAATTAAAAGATTGCACCTAAGTATCTTGTTATGAGAGAGGCCATAAAGAATTCAGTGATTGGTTTTAATTGAATTAGTATTGCAATAATTATTTTCTGAACATTTCCTCATAGGAGTCCAAATCCCACTATAGTAGTGAATCTCAAAGCGGTAGTGTTTCGCATAGAGATTCGGAGAGTACTCGTCAAGACTCTGAGACAGAAGATATGTTGTGGGATGATTTGCTTCATGGACCCGAATACCGATCCTCTTTCACCAGTGACAGTGAGGAAGCCAAAGGAAAAAACAAGAAAGCAAACAAACGAGATCTGAAGGATGATGTTTTCCAGCAGGTCTGTAAGATGCAAAGCATCCCCCCACCTTGTGATGGTAACTTAATCAAATAAAACATCGGGAAGACACTAGCAGAATGTTCTCTGGCAACAAGTTGTAGTACTAGTTTTAAATGGATTTCTGTCCAATTATAAGCATCTGGATAAATAAAATGGCTTTTTCAATAGAGATGGTTTACCATCTAGCAAAAGTGGCAGCAAGATGATGCCATCTAGCAAAAATATAAAAAGTTTAATTTATGTATACTGTAACCTACTGCGTAAAGGACACGGTGGCTCAATGACTAAGAGCTGAGCTGGTTGATCAGAAGGTTGGTAGTTCAGCAGTTCAAATCCCTAGCATCGCATAACAGGGTGAGCTCCCATTACTTATCCCAGCTTCTGCCAACCTAGCAGTTCGAAAGCATGTAAAAATGCAAGTAGAAAAATAGGGACCACCTTTGGTGGAAAGGTAACAGCGTTCCGTGCACCTTTGGGGTTTAGACATGATGGCCACATGACCATGGAGACGTCTTTGGACAGCGCTGGCTCTTCGGCTTTGAAACTGAGATGAGCACCGCCCCCTGGAGCTGGAAATGACTAGCACATATGTGTGGGGGAACCTTTACCTTAACCTATTATGTGACCACAAGAATATGGACTTAAAGCAAAAGTTTTCAGACATTGATTGCACATTGATGAAATGTCATCAATCCCACATGTGTGGAGATAAGGTGATTTGGAGCAGATGGGGACACTCATGTAGCATCTTTTGGTGACGTCTTAAAGAAGCTGATCTTTCCTGGGCTTATATGGTAGAAATCAATGAATCCAGGAAAACATCTGATTATTATTAGGTACTGTGTGCCTGTCTTCATCTAATATAAACCAGCTTTTCCTGTTTGAATCTGGAACTATGGCTGTAGTCTTTCTGGTGTTAGGATAGCAATATTAACTCAGGGGCACTGAAAAAAAGCATTTTTGATTTGATGATGCACTATTAAATTTCTTACCAAGTGCCTTCAACCAAAAGGTAGGTGTGGTTATAGCCATTTATTACATTATAGGAAACATTTAATATGTCTTTGTCTCACCATATCTCTCACACCAATATATGTCCAGCACCAAGTGATGATGTGGACCCCTCCAATAATATCCCCAAAACCAATTGCTTCCCAGACATGAGACCAAGAACCTCTCAGTGTCCTTACCATGAATCCCAGGAAGGAGAAGTTGGGTATCCTGAAGCACTTTAGCCCTAACAGCTCTTGGCACCAACAGGACAACCAGCCCAAATCTTACCACAAGTTTCCACATACAAACATTAAAAATACCCATTCAAATACCCAAAGACGCAGAGACCCCCTCCTTTGCTGCTTCCAGTAGCAGGAGGAGGACTTTCCTCATGCATCCCCCACCAATTCATCCCTTGACTTTTCATCCAAAAGAAGAAATCAGACCATTTATCTGTATCTGTATTCAATACAGATGGACCTACATTCTCTTGACAATAAGAGTTGGTGATAAAAACAAAAATCCTGGCGAAAACCCAGTGGATACCCTGCTATCTGAAATATACCAATATCATACAAGACTTGTTAATAGTTTTTGTTCTTGTAATTATCAAATATTTTAAGTTTCTGTTACAGACAGTGGGACATTAAAATGCTCAATGAGCATGGAAGTTGGACTTTAATAACATTTATGCTTGCTCAGATAGGCGCCTTCTTTTGACCTGTATGAACTCAATGGCAAAATGTTTGCTTAGAATCATTAAGTGAGCTGTTTTGAAGCCATCTCCACCGCTATTAAAGAAAGACTTTCCAGAATATGGCATCAGCATGACTTTTCTTCCTCAGAACCACTTGTTCTGGCTGCAGAATACAAGTCCTGCCTCTACCAAAGTGAGTGCTCTCATCTGGGAGGGGAATGAGTGCAAGAAAGTAGACATGTCTGTTCTGGAGATCAGTGGAATCATTATGAACAGGGTAAGGATCATGCCCATTCAGTAGAGTCATAAAAAAACTAGCAGTTCTATTCTGTGCAGCTGTGTATATCCACAAGCAAAATATGTTAATTTTTGTTATCTCTCCCCTCCATCTCTCCATCCATCCATCCGTCCATCTATCCCTATCTATCTATCTATCTATCTATCTATCTATCTATCTATCTATCTATCTATCTATCTATCTATCTATCTATCTATCTATC